AGATTCCATACTCTGTTAATTATTTTCCTTTTTTAAAGTAACATAAGAAAAGTCAGTGAGGTTCAGTAGCCATTGCATTTTGGTCCACTATTGGGGTTTGGATCTCTTTGTCCCTTCAGCTTTTATAATGAGCAGGTTGTGTTCTCAATCCTTGCTTTGAATACCTATGGGAGGCTGCTTTTGTTTTGTTTTAATCTTTTCTAAACAGGGACAGAATGATGCTGCTAAAATTAGAACAGGAGATTCTGGAATTTATTAATGACAACAAGTAAGTTATTTGAATGAAATACAAATTTAGAGGTGGGAGGGGCACCAAAAGAAATTTAGGTACAATTTTAGGATATCCCTCTTTCATCTTTCTCTTAAAGTCTGAATTTTGATGTAATTATTCACTGGAAACCAAAAGGAGTTGGGGGGGTGGGGGGTAGTAATCAGTATGTATTAAAAAGTATATGTGTGAGAACCAAGTGAGGTGTTTAAGTTATTGCATAAACTTTAGTTGAAAAAATATATATATTTTCAGCAGCTAGCCCTTGTTCCATATTTTATTATTCTTAAATTTCTCCCTTTTTTCCTTGTAGACTATCCAGGTAGATAAGACCTAGGACTTAAGGAGTAGTCTAATGTGTGTAGTGGGTCTATAAAAGACTATTGCTAAAGAAGCTGAGAGAACCTTTTTGGTTCCCATTGAATAAATATCTTTCTTATAATATGTCTGTTTCTCCTAAGAAATTCCCCATTTTAGATACTTTTAAGGAAAATTACAAGTGGCTGTTATTTATCCCCCCGGTTTTCCCTTCAGTAACCAGTTCAAGAAGTTCCCTCAGATGACCTCATATCACCGGATGCTATTACACCGGGTAGCTGCCTATTTTGGGATGGACCACAATGTTGATCAAACTGGAAAAGCTGTCGTCATCAACAAAACCAGTAACACAAGAATCCCTGAACAGAGGTTCTCAGAACATATAAAGGATGAGAAAAATACAGAATTTCAACCGAGATTCATTCTCAAGAGAGATGATGCCAGTATGGACCGACATGATAACCAGATCAGAGTTCCATTGCAGGATGGAAGGAGGAGCAAGTCACTAAAAGAGAGAGAGGAGGAATATCAAAGGGTCCGAGAGAGAATATTTGCCCGAGAGACTGGCCAGAACGGATATCTAAATGACATCAGGGGGAACCGTGAGGGGCTAAGCCGCACCTCGAGCAGCCGCCAGAGCAGCACAGACAGCGAACTCAAATCCCTGAAGCCACGGCCTTGGAGCAGCACGTACTCTGACAGCATTGGGAACAGTAAAGCTGGCAGTGCAGGAAGGATCTCCAGGCCAGGTATGGCTCTAGGTGCCCCAGAAGTGTGCAATCAGGTCACCTCAATGCTGCAATTGCAGACCCAAAATACCTCCATTTACAGATTTTTGGCCATCAACCCTGGTGCAATTAATAGTTTGGGGACCTTCTCACACATCTCTTTCCTCTCACCATAGATCCAGGTTTCTTACTATCCCCCTGGACAGTATCCTAACTCCAACCAGCAATATCGACCTCTCTCTCACCCGGTGGCCTACAGCCCCCAACGTGGTCAACAGTTGCCTCAGCCATCCCAACAGCCTGGTAAGGGGAACTGCTAGTGTAAGAAGACAGTGAATAGGGGAAGGGCGGAGACTGGGAAAGAGAATTACCGTCCCTGTTTTTTTTAAAAAAAAAGGCAGGAATGATTATATTCCTGAAGAGGTACCCAGGGTCTCCAGAAAAAGGAAAGGCAAAATAGACAGGTGAAGAGAAATTGCTGATAGAGTGTGACCTCCTAAACATTGTTGAGACCATGCTAATGTCTTCTCAGCCATCCCAACAGCCTGGTTTACAGCCCATGATGCCTAACCAGCAGCAGGCGGCTTACCAAGGCATGATAGGGGTCCAGCAACCACAGAACCAGGGCCTGCTCAGCAACCAGAGGAGTGGCAGGGGGGGCCAGATGCAAGGCCTGGTGATTCAGTATACTCCACTGCCTCCTTACCAAGTCCCAGTGGGTAACGACTCGCAAAATGTGGTCCAGCCGCCTTTCCAGCAACCCATGATGGTCCCTGCAAGCCAATCTGTGCAAGAGGGTCTCCCGGTGGGAGGGGTACCAGTGTGGAGAGAGAGACAGAAATATCAACGATGAGATAATCATCGATCGGCTGCCTCCTGCACACCCCATTCTGGGGATCAAGTCCGCAGCCTGTGCCCTGACCGGGAATCTAACCTCGACCTTCCAGTTCATAGGTCAACACTCAACCTATGACGCACACCAGCTGGGCTCTCCCTTTTTTTAATAAATGAAGAAGTTCTAGCTAGGGATATTAAGGAACTTACCCAAAGTCATACAACTAGTTAAAAGCAGAGCTGGAACTAGAACTCAAGTCTGGGCCTACTTGCAGGTATCTCTGTGTGTGTCTCTCAGTGTGTATATGTTTATTTATGTCTTTTTATATGTATGTCTCCTGTTGTCTTGAGCTTCATGGGGGTTTTTCCCTATTTGTCTTCAGGTGACTATCTGTGTTTGCCATTGTGTAAATATCCTAAATCATACATCTCCATAGTTCTTTCTTACCCATCTCTCTCTTGCACTGTATATCTGTCTCTGGCACTCTCTTTGTCTGTGTGTCTATTATGTTTATCAGAGTGTGCGTGTATTTGTGTTGTGTGCATGTATGCACATGTATGTATCTGGTGTTTCCACACTGTTAGGAAGAGCATGTGTCACTGACATTCCATCTGTAGCACTGATTAGCAGCTTCCTAATTGAAAGATGATCAAGTACAAATATATATAATTAACTTTGAACTGATTAGTGATTTTAGAAATTGCATGGCAAATTGGTTTGGAAATGGCTTGGAGCTGCCTCTGCTTCCCATAGGGGAGGCCCGGGCAGCAGCAGCTGTTTGCCATGAGCTGTGTTCCTCCCTCTACCTCTTTAACACTCCTCTCTTCTCTATTTCCCCAGCCCTTCTGTGGGATTTCTGCAGCCTCCTGGCTCTGAGCAGTACCAGGTGCCTCAGTCTCCCTCTCCCTGCAGCCCACCACAGATGCCACAGCAGTTCTCAGGAGTGTCACCTTCTGGACCAGGTGTGGTGGTCATGCAGCTGAATGTCCCTAATGGACCCCAGTCTCCCCAGAACCCATCCATGGTCCAGTGGAGTCACTGTAAATACTAAAGCATGGACCAGCGGGGGCAGAAACCTGGAGACCTGTACAACCCTGACAGTAGCCTGCAGGCCAACACACAAATGAGAAGCAGCCCCGTCATATCTCCTACCCAGTCTCCAGCACCCTCTCCTGTCACCAGCCTCAGCAGTGTCTGCACAGGACTCAGTCCCCTTCCCGTCCTTACACAGTTCCCCTGGCCCGGGGGTCCAGCACAGGGTGATGGGCGCTACTCCCTCTTGGGCCAGCCATTACAGTACAATCTGTCCATCTGCCCTCCTTTGCTCCATGGCCAGTCGACTTACACAGTGCACCAGGGACAGAATGGATTGAAGCATGGAAACCGGAGTAAGAGACAAGCACTCAAATCTGCCTCCACTGACCTGGAGATGACAGATGTCGTCCTGGGGCAGGTGCTGGAGGTGACAGATCTTCCTGAGGGCATCACTCATACGGAGGCGGACAAACTCTTCACTCAGCTCACCATGTCTGGCGCAAAGATCCAGTGGCTCAAGGATGCTCAGGGGCTGCCTGCTGGGGGCGGGGGGGACAGTAGTGGGACTGCTGAGAATGGTCGCCATGCAGACCTTGCTGCCTTGTACACCATCGTGGCTGTGTTTCCCAGCCCCCTGGCTGCCCAAAATGCCTCCCTTCGCCTCAACAACTCCGTGAGTCGCTTCAAACTTCGAGTGGCCAAAAAGAACTATGACCTGAGGATCCTGGAGCGAGCCAGCTCCCAGTAAATATGAGGGGAAGGGACTCGCACAGCAGGGGTGGGGGCAAGGTGGATAACTCCCTGGCAGACCATGGACAGAGGGAGAAAGGAAGGCAACAGACACTAAACTGGAGCCTAAGACAGTAGGGATGAAGATAGAAACAGAGACAGACACACTGGCGCTGGACTCCTTACTCCCTCCGTGGGCCCCCTCTTTCCCTGGTTGGCCTCCCTCTGCTACCCCCTCCTTTCCCAACCTCTTCCATCATTTTTTATCTCTTCTCCCACCATGAAATGAATTTCTTTCATATTTTTTGGTCAGGTAGAATTGGGAGGGTTCTACACTCCCCTCTTCTCCTAATTTCCTTACCATCCCAAGCTCCCTTTTCATTTTTGGTCTTTATGAATATATTTATATGGAAAGAATTAAGAAAAATGAAATTGATTTCCCTTTCTTCTCACTTTCCCCATCTTGTCACCCCAAGCCCTACAAAGTTAAAACTGGGGCCTCCCCCTACCCCCCCAGAACACTTGTATATCTCTCTATCCCTCTCCCTTCCTCTCTGTAAAACAATCAATAAAATATATTAAAAAAAAAAGTGAGAATTCAAGCCGAAGTTTTCAATGCTCTAGGTGATGAAAATGAACCCCAACCACCTTTGTCTCATGAAACCTTCTTATTAATGAACTAGAGGCCTGGTGCATGAAATTCGTGCATGGTGGGAGGGGGGTCCCTCAGCCTGGCCTGCACCCTCTCCAATCTGGGACCCCTTGAGGGATGTTTGACTGCCGTTTTAGTCCCGATCCCACAGGGATAGGGTCTAAAACGGCAGTCGGACATCCCTATCACAATCCAGGACTGCTGGCTCCTAACCGCTCGCCTACCTGCCTGCCTGATTGCCCCTAATTGCTTCTGCCTGCCAGCCTGATCACCCCCTAACCACTCCCCTGCCGACCAGATTAATGCCTAACTGCTCCTCTGCCAGCCCGATTGCCCACAACTGCCCTCCAGGGATAGGGTCTAAAACGGCAGTCGGACATCCCTATCACAATCCAGGACTGCTGGCTCCTAACCGCTCGCCTACCTGCCTGCCTGATTGCCCCTAATTGCTTCTGCCTGCCAGCCTGATCACCCCCTAACCACTCCCCTGCCGACCAGATTAATGCCTAACTGCTCCTCTGCCAGCCCAATTGCCCACAACTGCCCTCTCCTGATGGCCTGTTCGCCCCTAACTGCCCCCCTTGCTGGCCTGGTCACCCCACGCAGCCTGCTGTTCAGTCATTTTGTCGTCCCTCACTAACCCCCCTGCTGGCCTGGTCACCCTACACAGCCTGCTGTTTGGTTTGTCACTGTTACTGTGACAGCATCCCGGACAATTTGCATATTCCTCTATTATTAGTATAGATTAATTTAAGAGTATTTGGAACTCAACAAATATAAGTATACAGCATCTGTCCTCCAAAGCAGAATCTAGTCAACCTGTAGTTCCATTGGCAATTTCTCCTCCATGAGCTAAATGCATTAGAAGAATCAAAGGATAATACAATACCTCTTTTATGTGGGATTTTAGCTTACTTCTTGCATGAAACTAAGGATGGCATTCATAATACATTTCTGAGAGGATCTTCACTTCAGCCTCTAAACCCAAACCATGGTAGACAACCTAGTGGAAGAAGGCAAATGGACGACCACCCACGAAAAGAGAAGGGGGGGAAATACTGATATTGGAGATCTTCATATTTCTCAACCTGTGAAGAGATGACATTTCCATTTGGGGCATCCTTTATCTTAAAATTATCATTTTGGCTTCTACTGGAAGATTTAATTAAATTGTAGAGGGGGAACTAATTCTTTTAATTTTGCTGTTAGTTAAACAAAGATTTTATTTTATTACATGAAGAATGTAGAATCAGCATGAAGAGACAGGCTTAAGGAGAATTCCATAAAATAACTTTTAAAAGATGGCATTGTTTAACTTCCATGTGGCTTTCAGGTGTGCAATTATAAGATGAGCTATGGAAAAGCCAACCCCTAATTATTTGGGCTCTGAAAGTCTTATTAAATGTCAATTGTCATTCTTGGGACAGAAATATAGTAAGAGCTATTATAGTGCTATCTCTAAAACGTTGCTTTTAAAAATAAAAATAATAAATAAAATGTTGCTTTTGATGTTTATTAAGATACTAGAGGCCCGGTGCACAGGATCCATGCACCGGTGGGGGGGTGTGGCCTGCAGTGATCAGCCCACTGTGGGAGGGCCACTCATCCCGGTCAGCTGAGCGGCTGTGGACCTGCCCTCTGAGTGGCTGCTCCCTGGTCTGGCATCTTCCATCGAGCCAGAGTCTCGCCTCTCCAGGGGACCCAGTCAGGCCGGGCCCAGTGATAATAGCACTGAGAGGCAGTGGAGCAGAGCTCTGTCCCACAGCAGCCATGAACCCACCTCCCAGCCTCCCTGGTCAGCTCTGTGAGCCCGGCGGCGGCACTGCGTGGCCTGCGGGCATCCAGAGGAGGCTGCAGGGAGCAAGGAGGAGCCTGGAGCAAGGAGGCAATGATCGCAGCACGGGTTCCTGCCTGTTGGCCCAGGGTTCACAACGGGAGCAGCCACTCATCCCAGTCAGCCAACTAGTGCTCCCACTGTGGTAGCGCACTGACCACCAGGGGGCAGCTCCTGCATTGAGCGTCTGCCCCCTGGTGGCCAGTGCATGTCATAGTGACGGATTGACTGGTCGTTCTGGTCGTTCTGTTGTTGCAGTCGCTGGGCTTTTATTATATAGGATTTTTATAATGTGGAAACTATAGTCTGATTTCATTGAAAACTGACTGTTAAATTAGACAGCACCTTATTGGCAAAAGTCATAAGGTATATTCAGAGCACAGTGGGCACCTGTACACTGACAATATTTAGCTTAAACATCTTCCACAGGGAAAGTGATAAGGGATTGTAGTTGGAAAAATTGGCATTCTCTTTAGGGTATTGATTCTGAGCTACTTTTGGAAATTATTGCAACTTTTGATTTTATAGTTGGTGTTAGTCAGTGTTTATTCCTTAGAGATTAACCAAGAGATTTTATCTGAATACAGAAAATTATTAAAGCAATTCCCTTAAACCATACTTTACAAGTCAAAGGATTTTGAGAGGCCCTATTGGTTGGCTAAAATTACATATATAGATGTAGAAATATTATAAGGGCTCATTTCTACTTTTTAAATAAAATCTGTAGTATCTGATTATAATTATGGATTCTAGTGTATGTGGGAATATAAATATCCAAATTTTTCTCAGAGGACTTGGTTTGTATCCAAAGATGTTAGTGGACACTAAGTTTACCTCAGGAATTGCAATCATGCAGCACTAGATTAAGAAAAAATGCTAGAGTTTAGCATTTTGGATACTGACATAAAATGTTCAAAATAGAAGCTAAACAGAATTGTCACATGTAGTCCATTATGGTTTTGTATGCATTATTCTATAACTTGTTTGTACCTAGGAAACTATTATATTTTTAATGTATCATTTAATTAAAAAAAAACATTACCAATGAAAAACTAAATTAGTGGTTCTCAACTGGGGCAATTTTGCCCCCAAGGGACATTAGGCAATGTTTGGGACATTTTTGTTTGTCACACGAGGGGCTGGTACTATCTGTATCTAGTAGGTAGAGACCCGGGATGCTGCTAAATATCCTACAATGACAGGACAGCCCCCATGGCAAATAATTATCCAGTCAAAATTGTTAATGGTGCTGAGACTAAGAAACCCTGTCTGGATCTACCACAAGAAATATAAGACCTACGGTGCATATCAACCAAACGTAATCTGAAAACCTTGTTTGAATCCTGAGTCCAACAATGCAATTATAAATAGATATTTATTATTCAGAGAAATTTGAACACTGACTGGACATGGATGAACTATTCATTTCTTCAATGTATTAGTAATATTGTGCTTCTGCTAACGGAAAAATCCTTATCTGTTGTTAGAAATACACATATACACACTGAATTATTTACAGATGAGATAACATGATATCTGGGACTTTAAAATAATTCAGCTGGGAGGGGGTTGGGGAGGCGTAGAAATGATTAGTCATAATTGATCAGCACGAAGCTAGGTGATAGATACAGCTTCTCCTACTTATGCATATGTTTGAAAATAGAAAATAAATAAAACATTTTAATAAAATTTTAATTATGAACTTTTCAAATTTACATGAAATTTAAATTAGTGTTGGAAAGTTACCTAACTGGGATGTTGCTCTTTTCAGAAGCAATGAGTCCACAAAGTTTAATCCCAAGGTCTTAATATCCTATACTGTGGTCAAAAATGTGGCAATCTTTTCCACTAACGCAGCCTTTAAGGCACATATTATGGTATCTATACTTCGTTTTAATATCCTTTAGTACAGATTGTGTGTTGGTTACAATTACAGTCTTGGGGCAGGATATTGCCCTAATCAGAAACCCACATTCTGGAGATGATTAGTTCATCTTTATTAGAAAAGTCATACACTAGAGGTGATGTCTAAAAAGGCTTCAGTCATTATTTTCTCCCTTCAATGCCAGAATTTTCCTAATCAACATAATGTCAGAAGTGGGTTTTCATTGGTGGAATTAGTGGCTTGTTAATGGATAAAATGGAGCTTTCATTTGGGAAATTAGTAGCAGTGGAGAAATGGTAATTGGCTATAATATTTTATAGGCACTCTCCATGCTTCCTAAAACAGGAGGTAAGACACTAGTGAGCCCTGGAATCTTTATCCTTAGGAATGGGGCCCTAGGTGAGATCCTTAAATGACATTTATAGAACTGGTTTAGGATTGTTTTGTGCCTGCTTGCAGAAAGGTCAATATGAGTAGCAGCAATTAGTCTGAGACTTGCTTTCCTAGTAACCTAATACATGGTTATGAGCGAGTATTTAACCCTCATTGCCACCAGCCATTAACAAGACACTAAAGAGAACCTAATATTTGTGCACACCAAAATTGCTTGGGTCAGTTCTCAGCAGCAGAAAAAAAATAAATGCCTTCTCCAGAGTGGATGAGTCCTAGCCTACCATAAAGGCAAAGTTATCTTCAAATCAACTGCTTCATTTTTAAAATTCATGTAAACTTGGTATATCACTCTCTATATGGTAGACTTTAGGTTGGCAAACTCCCAAATGAATCCTGCAAAACCTTTCATGGGCTGGGCTACATGACTTACTCTAGCCAATGGGACATTAGTATGATACAAGCAGAAGCTTGAAAAGTGATTTCACAATGGGGATTGTTCTCTTAGAATGTTCTTTCTTGGCCTTGAGCCACCATGTAAACAGGTCCAGCTTTCCTAATAGAGAGACCATGTGGAAAGAGAAAGAGAGATGCATGCCTAGCCACCAGTTCTTGCAGCCCTTGCAGCTGAGGCACCAGACATGTGAGTAAAGAAGATATCGTAAATTCTCCAGCTCCATCAGTCACCAGGTGGAGCAGCAGAACAACCCTGCTGAGCCCAGGCTAAATTGCAGAACTTTAAGAAATAGCAGCTTGACCTTTG